CTATAAATAATTATGATCCACATAAGAATTCTCAATGAAGTTGGAAAAGACTTAGAATTAAGCAATAGTAAATGTTCCTTTTTAAAAAATATTTATTTTTTAGTTGTACACAATACCTTTATTTTGTTTATTTATTTATTTTTTTATGTGGTGCTGAGGATCAAACCCAGGGCCTTGCCCGTGCTAGGTGAGCGCTCTACCGCTGAGCCACAACCCCAACCCAGTAAATGTTCTTTATAAATATTTACCAAAAAAAAGAGAAATACAAACAAACAATAGTAGGAATGAATAAGGGGCAAAACTACACATACAAAAGAGATTTTATAACTAGATAGAGGGTAATTTGAACAAATTTACTCCAATAAAACTGAAAACTCAGAGAAAATGGACAATTTTCAGAAAAATGTAACTTACCAAAACTGACTCAGGAAGAAATAGAAAACCAAACAGACCTATAACCATTAAAAAGTTTTAATCAATAGTAAAAAAAAAAAAAAAGAAAAAAGAAAAGAAAAAGAAATCTGCCTGTAAAACAAACAAAATAACAAAAGAAAACCAAAACCTCACCAAGGCTAAGGTAATTTATAATGAATTTTATGGATTACAAAAGAAACAGACAATCACTGAATTATATTAACTGTCCTAGAGCTAAAATGAGTAAGAGGAGAGAATAGGGTTTACCTACTCATTTTATAAAGCTACTCCAATATCAGATACGAACAATCTCATTATTGAATGTCAGGTAACAATCCTATATAAAATATTAGTATTAGCAGAATCAATCTAGCAATCTTTTAAAATATATCAATATGAAATTGTGATAAAGTTAGGTTCATCCAAAGAATGGTGGCTTAACACTGAAAAATCTATGTCATTCATCAAATTGAAATAATAAAGGAAAAACACCATAACATTATCTCAATGAATACAAAAATTATTTGATTACAACCATAATGGTAAACTCTTGGTAATCAGAAATAAAAATAAATTCCTTAATCTGATAAAGGATATTTGAAACTACAAAAACACCACCATAAAGTCACAAGACAAGATGTTCATTATCACTACACACCTCTTTGTTTTTTGTTTTTGTTTTGGAACCAGGGATTGAAACCAAAGGCACCTAACCCTTGAGCCACATCCCCAGCCCTTTTTATTTGTTATTTTGAGGGTCTCACTAAGTTAATGAGGCTGGCTTTGAACTTGCATCCTGTTGCCTCAGCCCCCACAGGTGATGGGATGATAGGCATGCACCACTAAGCCCAGATACCACATGTATTTAACATTGTATTGGATGATAAAAGGGGGAAAAATCCAGAGATGATCTTTATTTGTGGATTATATGACAGTCTGTATAAAAAATTTAAAAGCATGTACAAATTACTTTGAACTGATAAAAATTTAGCAAGATAACTAGAGTCAGAATGAACACAGAAAACCAACTGTGGCCTAAAAAGAGCTATATGCTATTAAACTGCAAATCCAAACTGCAATTTATCATAACCAAAAAAAATTCACAAGGTATCTAGGAATAAATATAACATGTTATTATTTACTATTATTAAGCAATAGATTAATAATAGTAAATTTTATAAAATTTTACTAACAGAAATACAAAGAACTCTAAAATAATTATAATGAATACATTTATGAAAGGGAACATTCCATGTTATAAATTCCCCAAATCAATCTCTAAATTCAGTGTAAGTCTTCAAGCTTGTATTTGTTAAAGAATATCTATACCTGGGTACGGGTATGAATATAAACCACTTTAACAATTACATGGAAAAACAAAGGGGCAAGAATAGTCAAGACAGTTTTAGAGGAAGAAAATGAATTACAATGGACATTTCTACATCAGAAACTGACTTCTGAAGGTAAAATGATTAAATGACTCAGATTTAAGAGCCAAAAAGCAACATCATGCTTAATACTGAAAGTCACAGACTTTGGTAAAGGCTCCTAGATTTGGGGCACCTGCCCAGGTTAAAATAAAAATAACAATGATCCACATATAATAATAATATTTTCAAACAATAGGAATAAATGAGACAACCTAAAAGCTTCTGGAGATATACAGAAAGACTATAATAGAAGAACTGAGAACCAGAATGACAACAAATGCCAACAGTAACCCTCTAAGAAGACAATATAATTCATCTAACTTCTAATAGAAAAATTGCTTCAAATCTAGAATACTATGTCCAAATTATCAATCAGATAAGAGAGTAGATGTCAGGAACAATCCATGGGTTGTGTGTGAACTGTGTTGTGCATTGTAGCCTAGTGAGGGGATAAGTCTGGCATTGGGAACTTCCCATGACACCCCCACAGGAATTGATCACCTGATTCAGGTGAACTCCCCCACCTCAAGCTCTGCCAAAGATTCCACACAGCACCTGAGATGGGTGTGACCTACCAAAATGCCAATCAACCTGATGACCACAAGATATCACATAGCAAGACTCCACCCTTGAAATCTTATTCCTGCCTTTGATGTGACCCCTTAAATAGACCACTGGAGCCCTCTTTCCTTTGTCTAGTTCCAGTACCCATGTGGACTAGATCTATCAGGGGCTCTGTTTTTAGGAAATATATTTCTGACTACTTGTGTTTTGTTCTTCACTAATTATTTGAGACTTTTCCCATGTGGCTTACACCATCCTTGGCAGGAAGACAAACCCACCCAATGAGACACTGGCCGTTGCCCCTGTTAGGTAGAAATTAGGTCATTTGTCAGACATTGAAAATTATGAAATATTTCCTTCCATTGGAACCTTCCTCAGGCAGCTACCATCAGTGAAAAGGACATACAAGAGATCTAGAAACAGAGGATCCAATATCATAGAGCAACACAGTAAATTCCATGATAAGGGTGTACTCCTAGAAAGACAGTTCTGCAGTAGGCCTAAAGAAGGAACAGTCAAGTGGGCTGGGGTTGTGGCTCAGCGGTAGAGCGCTCACCTAGCACATATAAGTGCTGGATTCAAACCTCAGCACCACATAAAAATAAGTAAATAAAATAAAGGTATTGTGTCCAACTACAAAAAAAAAAAGAAGAAGAAGAAGAAGAACAAACAGTCAAGATTAGGACAGCAGAAGGCAAGACTTCAGTATAGATATCTTCAAGAAATAAAAGGGAATTGCTTATTTGTATAATGTGTCTGAGAAGAAAAAGGAATTGCTAAATTAACATTTGGTGGAAAGCTTGTGATAAATAGGTATGAATTAAAATTTAAAAACTAAGCCATTAGGGCTTAGTGGTAGAGCGCTTGCCTGGCATTCTTGAGGCCCTGGATTGAATCCCCAGAACTGCAAAAAACAACTAAGGAATGTAAAGTGGCTACTTACTTCAGGGAGAATGAAAAAATGAAGAAATGCAATTAAAACAAACTTTATAGCACACTATGAATATTAGTATCATCATAAAAAAATCTCAAAGAGGATTTAATGGCAGATTATGTGGTAATTACACTGGGAAGAAGGAAAGGAAGTGAACTGGTTGAATAGAGGGGACTAAGAGACCTGAAGGTTCATCTTCCATGATAGGAAATAAGTAAATTGGGGAGAGGGGAGGTCTAGGGGTTGAACAAGAGGAGCTTAACCACTGAGCCACATTCCCAGTCCCCCTTTTTTTTTAATATTGTTTTTGGAACAGGTCTCACTAAATTGCTTGGGGCCTTGCTAAGTTGTTACAGCTGGCTTTGTACTCATGATCCTCCTGCATCAGCCTCCTGAGTTGCTGGGATTACAGGAGTAGGCCACTACACCCAGTTAAATAGAATCTTAATAAATAAGAGAAAGCAGCACAAATATATTAAGAAATATGTAAATAAATGAAATGCCAGAAGAAAGGATCAAAAGTTTAAGTATCTTTCTCTAGGGAAACATTTGGAGGAGAGAAGAATTAGAATTACTTTTGTTATATATCTTCCTAAAATATGTAGGCATCATTTTCATGAAAATACAAAATGATCTTGCAGTACAAATGTACAGTCCAACCTTGTGCTCCGAGGGGGATACTTTAGGACCTCTCTCTGTACAACTGTTCTCTCTTTCTCTCAATCCAATATCAAGCCAGATTTCAGCTGCTACAGCTAACCCAACTTTGGTCTCTTCTCCTGATCTATGAAGAAATGTTATACTCTGCTCCAACTCTAGCTTTCTTCAGGACAGTTGGGAACTGTTCCAACCGTGGGCAATTAAGAGGTACACCAAAAGAGTTCATTCCTGTCAGGGATAATTGTCTGAATGCTGTTTGTTGTCTATTACCCAAAAATGTCTGTCTCAGATATTGTATCTAATTTTACAGCGGGATGGCTAATTCTATACTAATTATTCCTATCAACATGGCCAAAGAGGTATTATAATAAGCCTTAAAAAATATCTTCAGGATAAGTATTCAGAACTGAAATTACCAATCCAGAATAATGTGCTACTTTCATTGCCTTTAGAGTATATTATAGTAAGCTGTTCTCAAAAAAATTTAAAAAAAGTTTCTCAAAAAAAAGTTTCTACCAATTAAAGTTTATATTAATTAATTAATACATTAGCATGGGAACATACAACCAAGGAGATTTTCTGGGAAAAAAAATGAATTCATTTGTTGAGCACTGTCCCTCAGAATAAATACATAATTAGGAAAGAAAAAAATAAATTTTAAAAAGTGGGGATAAAGTAACATTTCCTTTTTCTACAGGAGTCTTCTTTTTCCTGACCTTCTGAAAATGTAGAAATATCTCAAGTAAAATAATACATAGTTACCAGCTAATGAACAAACAAGCACTCATAAAATATCAATCTCACGATTACGAATATGAGCAGGTAAAATGGCTTCTGACTTTACAGACAAGCCCTTTAATGAACAAGCATGTCCAAGTACCACTGTGTAGGGAGATGGAACACAGACAGACAAATGGATAGCTGGATAGACAGATAGGTTTCTAAAATAAATAAAGAAAATGTTTGTGGATAGAGTAATTTAGGATTTCTTTATTTACCGTTCCATCTTCCATCAGCTTCAGACAAGAACCAAAATCTGCTAACCGAATATGTCCATTCATATCCATCAATATATTGTCAGGTTTGATGTCTCTGAAAAAAAAATGCAGACATTTAATTTTTAGTTGAGAAAATTAAAAATAATCAGTTGGTTAGTTAAGATAAAAATATCAACTTCTTTTTAAAGTAATACTCTAAGAAAGTCTATTCAATCACTTATGAGTTCAACTTTAGGATCTGATTCATAATTCATATTGAAACTTTTTTTTCTTTTTTGGGGGGGAGGGGGTTTACTGGGGATTAAACCAAGGGGCACTTTACCACGAAGCTACACCCATAGTACTTTTTATTTTTTGAGACAGGGTTTCACTAAGTTACTGAGGCCGGCCTCCTGAGTCACTAGGATTACAGGTATTGCACCACCATGCCCAGCTTAAAACTGTGTTAAATACATACAATTTCAGTGTTTTCCTGGATATAAAAAGTACTCTGGTAATCTTATTATGTTTTCTTTACATTTTACACAGATTCCAATGTGGCTATGGTAGGCCTATTACCGTTTTATAGAGAACGTCAAAATTACCTAATAGTCACAAAAAATACTATCATCTAGCCTGTGATATTTTACAGGGAAAAAATACTTCCTAGACCCTGAGCAAAACTACAGATAGACAAATTCTTAAGTACAGTAGGTCACAAAGGAATTGCTTCATAAAACTGATTTTGCAAAAGAACTGAATAAATATATAGTAGATTACCTATATTATTTAAATATACTTAAATAATGTAGATGTTAATGGCTTATAAGACATCAAAATCTAGATAATAAATTATATTATACCAGTTTTCTATTTTTTTTTTTTTTTGCATTTGAATGCAAACTTTGGGAAAACAATCACATATAAAATGATTTTGTAAAGAAGAGTCTCAGGAATCCAGCAATAATGTTTCTTATCACATTCTAAAAATTGTAACTGAATATGAAAGAGATTAGTTCCTCCAAATGTTCCCTATTTTAAGAGAATAAGAAGAGAATCTTCTAAAAACAGCTTATCTGCTTTTAAAAAAAATTCTATTGCCATGGGGTTAACAGAAGAATAAAGTCATCTGAACCTGAATGATAACACTACAGGTTTTTATCCCTGAGATTTCCCACATATAATGTGGATATAACTGTAGTATGCTTTTGATCACTGAAGACATCACAGCTTGGCAAATTATGGCCCATGGCTCATCCAGCCTACTGCCTGTACTGGGCACAAAGAAACTTTCTGGGGTAATGAAAACTTTCTTGATTGGGACAATTTTTTTAAATGGGGGAATAAGAACTATCATTAAAAATATGATATTAGAGTTTTGTGGAGGGGATTTTCATTCTTATTCAGATAGTTTTTATTTCTTCTAGGGTAGTTCGCATTTTTCTAATAAAATGTAAATTTTATTCATTTTTAAAAATTGATTTGAATAGAGGTTAATAATATTATGAAAAAACAGCCCTAAAATTCATTTGGAAGAATGAATCTCATTTGAAAAAGTGAGAGACCCAATTCTAAACAAGGAAAGTGATTCAGGAAGTATCAAAAAACCTGATCTTAAATTATAATATACAGCTAAAGTAGCAAAACCAGCATGGTATTGGCATAAAAATAGATACAAAGACCAATGGAATAGAATACACAGAAACAAACTCAAATGTTTAAAGCCATCTAATACTGACAAAGGTACCAAAAATACATGTTGGAGAAAAGACAGCCCTTTAAAAAAAATGGTGCTAGGAAATCAAGATGTCCATATGTAGAAGAATGAATTTATAGCCCTATCTTTCTCCCTGCACAAAAGTCAAATCAATATTAATCAAAGAGTTAGAAATGAGACCAGAAACCTAGCAACTGCTAGAAAAAAACATAGGGGTAAACAATCCATCATATAAATGCAGGCACCAATTCCTCAACAAGAACTCTAAAGCTCATGAAATAAAAACCAAGAATCAGTAAATAGAATACCATCAAATTAAAAAGCTTCTGCACAATAAAGAAAATGATTAAGAGTGAAGAAAGAGCCTACAAAATGAGAGAAAATCTTTGCCAGCTATTCCACTGACTGGGGATTTTTTCCCAGAATATATAAAGAACTTTTAATATCCAGAATATATAAAGAACTCAAAAAAAAAAAAACCCTCAAGGCCCCCCCAACAAATGGCCCAATCGATAAATGGGCAAAAGAACTAAAAACACACTCTCAAAAAGAAGAAACACAAATGGCCAACAAAAATATGATAAAAATGTTCAGAACCTCTAGCAATTAGGGGAATGCAAATGAAAATTACACTAAGATTTCATACCACTTCAGTCAGAATGAAATTATCAAGAACACAAACAGTAATCAATGCTGACAAGGATTGGGAGAAAAAGGTACATTCTTACATTCTTGGAGGGTATGCAAATTAGTACAATTACTCTAGAAAGCAGTGTGGAAATCCTCAAAAAACTAGGAATGGAACCACCATTGTATTTATCCAAAAGATCTAAAATCATCACAATATACAAATACAACCATTTCAATGTTTATAGCAGCACTTTTGTATTTATCCAAAAGATCTAAAATCATCACAATATACAAATACAACCATTTCAATGTTTATAGCAGCACAGTTCACAATAGCCAAATTATGGAATCAATCGAAGTGCCCAACAAGAGATGAACAGATTAAGAGAATGTGGCATATATACACAATTGAGTTTTACTCTACCATAAAGAAGAATTAAATAATGGCATTTGCTAGTAAATGGATGGACATGGAGAAAATCATGCTAAGTGAAATAAGCCAGACTCAGAAATCAAAGGTCAAATGTTTTCTCTCATATGTGGAAGCAAGAGCAAAGCAAAAGAAAGGTGGCAGTTGGCCAAGAAGATTGTATATCATAATGATACAGGAAACATCAGTGGAGTACAAGAAGGAGAATAAGAGAGGGAGGGAGGAAGAAAGGAAAAAGAGAATATGGAATAAATTTAACAAAATCATGTTATATTCATATATAAAGGGTGCAAAAGGAATTTCACATTTATGTATATGTAGAAGAAAGAAAGTTTAGTAGAGGAGGGAGAATAGGAGAAGGGAGGAGGGGAGGAAAAGTGGGGCCTGAAATCAAATTTCTTCATGTATGATTTTGGCAAAATGAACCCAAATACTATAATTTTAATGCTCTTTAAAAAAAAAGGAATAATACAGTTAGATTCCCATCATGATAGCTTCTGTTATTTCCCTTATATTTACTATAGTTTTCCTTCTAAGCTGCCGTCCCCTTACAACAGAGGAAAGACTTCTTTTCCCTTTTTGTTGGGTTTTTCCACTATCTTGTCAAACTGCGTTGAGGTTAGAAAATATACTTGGTACTGGCTGTACTCCTATCAGTGCATTCTTCTTTATAGAAGAATTACAGCTCATTCCTTAAGAGAAAAATTAAAGCATGATATTTGGGAAGCAGACCCGGGATCTCAGGCTGTAGAGTGACAACTGATAAATAATCACAGGCTTCACCTTCTCTCATAATGGAACTCATGCTTTTATATAAAGCTAATTATATCAGAGCATTACATCAGATTTTTCTGGTTTGTCTTTATTCTCTTTATTCTAGAAATTGTTTCTCCCAATGAAGAAGAAAATAAAAAATAGAGGAAAATGAAAACAATAGTTATCTAAAAATAGAAGAGTAATTTGTTTAAAAAGTTGTAATGGAAAGAAATGCTTACATAGAAAATTTTAATATGTAAAAAGAGATTAATAATGAACATGAAGGGCAATTAATAAAAGAAATACAACTGTATACAATAGTATACAAAAACATTAAACCTCACAAATACACATGCGACAAGCATTAAACAATTACACACGTGGGGCACAGAATTAATGGCAAATGTAACTAATTGGCATTACATACCAATGTAGTATATAAAAGTAGAAAACAGAAATCCCCATGTTTCTTATTTTCTTACTCCTTTATCTGCACCTAAGATCTTCTTGGGTGAAGACATATTTATCTCTATTTTTTCCAGAAACCATAACAAAATGACTACACTATTAAAAAGGAAAAAACCCAGAAGTAAATGTGAGAAAAGATAACAGAAGATAAAAGGTGAACTTGCTATTGTCATCAGAACAATACTGACATCAGATCAATATTAGCATCAGATTCACCATTTTAGGTCAGGAACCATTTTATCTAGAGTTTCCAAAGTTTTGATTTGAGGCAACGCTACTTAACTTCCCATAAGAACATGTGCCTGCTAAAAGAAAGGATCAACCCCACCCCAGCTTAAACTCCTAAGCAGCTTACAATCAATCCCACCACAGTTTAAACTTATGAGATTCCTCTTGCGGGCTATAAAGCTGCTCTGTGAGAGCCAACAGGCTACTGCTCTCCTGGGAGGCACGGCCTTGTTGGTATGCCTCCTGCTACCTACAATAAATCTCTTGCATGGGATTCTGGTGTGTGGCGTGGTCTTTGGACTGGTATGTGGACTCTGCAAGTGCACTTTCACTTTCGATCTTGGAAGATGGAAAATGTATGTATGATAAATAATACACAGCAAAGAAAGATAAATGATAATTGTCCTCAAATTGGAAAAAGAAAATAAATTAACTTGATGTACCATTTGATCTAATAGTAGAAATGTGATTGTTAAGAAAGGCCTTACATTTGCCAGTAAATGGATAGAACTGGAGACTATCATACTAAGTGAAATAAGCCAATCACAAAAAATGAAAGGCCTAATGTTCTCTCTGATGTGTGGATGCTAGCACACAATAAGGGGAGAGAAGACTAAACATTCATTGGATTAGACAAAGGGGAATGAAGGGATAGGAAGGGAGGTGGAAATAGGAAAGATAGTAGAAATGAGTTGGACATTACTTTCTTATGTTCATATATGAATACATAACCAATACACATCATGTACAATCAGAAGAATGGGATGTTATACTCCATATATGTATAATATGTCAAAAACACATTCTATTGTCTAAATAATAAGAACAAATTAAAAAAAAAAAAGAAGAGGAGAAAGAAAATCCCAAAAACCCAATTTAAAAATAG